AGTTCCTTGCTACTCAGATTGTATCTTGATACACTGCTATACCACAGGTCACAAATAGACACTATCTATATAATATTTCAAAAATAGGAATTCTAGAGAAGGTGAAAGTAACAAACCAAACAAGCTAAAAACAGGAAATACTTTCAATGTCCAGGTTCCTGGACAGGTGAGGCGTTAGCTGCTTTTGAGTTGACAGGCCTTTGAAGTTTTGGATCGCCAGGATCTGCTTCAAAACCTTGTCTTAGGCCTTAAGCACCAGATCTACCAAATACCAACAGGAAGGTTTATCGCAGAAGCACTAAGAACAACAGAGGCTGCAAACATGTACCTTTCAGGGCCTGAAACCTCCTGTTATCAGGGAACATTTGGAAAATCCTACAACTGATGCAAATGGCATTAAAAACCAAACAAGACACCTGGAAGGATAAAAGCATAGTCCTCAAAAGAGCAGACCTAGGCCCAAATCAGGAAAGCTAGATGCCTACAACAGCTGGCTAAGGTTACGATGAAAGTCCAGAGGCTTGGAGTAGAGAATACAACCTAGATATGGTCTTTATTAAGAGAAAAAAAGCAAATCACCACCTTAGGAATCTGAAGTCGATGTATGTACTAGCATAGTATAAACCAGGGCTACTAAACGCTAACAGAAAGAAAATCATCTACCTCTCCAAAGACTGCATTCTATTTTAAACTTACTAGGGAAGAAATCTGCTCAAAGTGTATGGCTTTCTAAGATTTTCAAGTTACTTTGTTTACAGTCTTACCTTTGCATAGTAACTGTATCATTGGCGTGCTGATTGCACCTCAGTTGAGTTTATCCATGTGCTTTAGGAAATATACATGGCCACGGTGGTAAAATTTTAATTCTCTGTAACTTGCAAGTGAAGGAGGTGTTTATGTAGCATTGCTGTTTACAGAAAAACACCCCAGAGAGCAAAAATTCTGGCTTTAAAAAACTATTTGAGGTGTGTGTTGGGGAAGGGGGTGGGGGCTTTTAAAAAGACTGAGGGGAAATGAAGGCAGGGAGACTTTCAGGTTCAAATCAGAAAAGATCAAGCCCTTTGCGGGAGAGGGCTCCATGTACAAGCTCACTGATGGAAAAACCATTTCCTGCGATTTCAGACGGGTAAATGCGTATGATGAAGGAAACACCTGAGAACAATAAGTCTGTTTCAGGCTCAGGTGAAGAAAGGGGTCTATTTCTGGCATGGAAGAATAGGGAAATGATGATCATTTCGTTTTCAAGTTCTCCTTTATTTCTTTTGCCTTTTTCTCCCTGAAACATCATCAATAACATTAATGTCATTAATGTCAAAACACCAAGCGTCAAATCAGGAAAACCATTTTAAAAATTTGGTGGCTATTTCTCCTCTACGTCCCTATCCCTCTCTTTTCTTGGAAAATACATCTCTCTTCTCTCTCCCCCCCCCCGCCACTCGGTGGGGGGGGGGGCAGTTATTGAATTCTAAGTAAGAAAACAAAAGGAAGGAGGATTTGTAAGAGGAGCGCCCACTTTTGCAATCCCTTCTGCTAGCGAGTATTCCCCTCATAGGCTGTGTGTGTGTGTGTGTGTGTGTGTGTGTGTGTGTGTGTGTGCTTTTTAATCATCTCTTTCTCATCCTCTTTCACCTCTTTCCTAAGAAGAGAAGCTGGGGTGAGGGTCGGGGGTTAATGGGCTGAGGGGATGGGGCAGAGAGGGACGAGCAAGGAGTCAAGAGTTTCCTCCAGGGCTCGGCCTCGGAGCGCGCCCGCGCGAGGAGGGTAGCTGGGGAGAAGCGATGGCAGGTCTGCTTGGGGT